TAGAGTCTCTGGCTCATAGTTAATTTAAGCATGTAGAAATGAAGTTCAAAAGATTTTAACAACGGCAGTTTTTCTCCATTATGCTGTAAACTTTTATTTTGTGCTGTAGTAAAAACATGAAATTTATCCTCAGTGAAGCCCTTGTAGCATAAGTAGGTAGGTAAGGATCAGATGTTGGGATTAAAGGGTCAGATGCAGCTTATTTCAAGGAAATAATTTCCAAATGTGAATTGTGTCCCCAGAGTTACTTTTTCAGGCCACATCTTATTCCTACCATTGTCATGAACACTTAAGAATTCGTTTGAATAGCTTCTTGTCTCTTAGTTACAGTACTTTATATGTAAATTACAGATGATCTTCTGTTGAACATTTTTTTTATATATATTTTAAGGTCAGAAAGGAGTAGTTTCCTTCTGGAATGAGTTTGGATATCTAAGTGACAAATGGTCTGAGAAACCCTTGGATGTAGTTCAGTATAGGAGAAAACGTGCAATGGAAGTTCCTGCCATTGTTCAGTGTGGTGAGTTTATATAATTGGACAAATAAAGGAGAAAAAGATGTGTGATTATACAGGATAATATAGACAGGAAGTTCTTTAAAGTTAAGCACCTTTGTTCCAGTTTTCTCCACTGTATACTGCTGTGCTTTCATCCGCTTCTTCCTTCCAAAGATCTTGACCAGCTTTTTTGTTTCATTTTACCACTGTGTCTAAAAGAAACTGGTAACTTTTATAGCTGTCTACTTTTCTTTCTATATGTTTTATTTGATCTCCTGTAAAGGCTTCTTTGGTGCTTTAAGATAGCCATTTTAGCCCTAAGTTAACTGTCACTTTAAGTGAATTCACTGAAAATTATTTAAAATTATTTTTATTTTCTATCATGTTCATTTTAAACTATCTGTTCATTTTAAAGTTTTTTCATTCTTCCCTAACTACATATGCTCCTGACGTGGCAGGTTGTGTTCTACCTCGATATGGGATCATATCTCAAATTGGACAGTTTGTGGTGGTGCTGGTGTTGTTGTTATTGTTCCTTTCCTACCAATAGTAACTTTTGAGAAAAACCTTTCTGATTACTCTTATGAGTCATTCTGTAAGCTTCCAGCATCCTATGGCAACATTTGATCTTAAAAATGACTGGCTGTGCCCTTAATAATTTAGTCTGAGTGAAATTGTTTTATTTGATCAAAATATAATTAAACAAGTTTATTTCTTTAGCATCCTAGTAAGTATTTCTGTTTCTTCAGATCTTTTGAATCAAAGAAACTTTCATTAAACTTTTGATGGAAAAAGTCCAGTAAATAGATTTTTCCACATCAGTGTCACCGAAATAAAGTGTTTCCTCTATTAAGCTGCCTGTCAGTAGGAAGGAAACAGCTAGTCATAACAATGAGAGCAAGGAATATGACATTTAAGTTGGCTTTTGACTTCAAAAAAAATAAAGGCAGCATAAGGAGAAAAACTTGAGTTTTATTTCAGAAATAGTTAGGTTTCATACTGGGTAAAAACATCAGAAAAAATGTCTGTCTTTCTCCATTAAGGTACTTTTGCACACGTGATATACACACTTTTCATTAATATTAAAAACAGGACTTGCTCCTGCATCCTGGATTAGTGCCAAAAAGAATCTACAGTGTGCCACAGAGGGAGTAGTGACAGCCCTGAAGGAATCAGGGCTCACCACCAAAACTATAGTTTGTTAACCAGTTGGGATACTGCTTTGCTGATATTGTTGGACAATATGCATGAGCTACCTAAAATAGTAAGGAGTGAAGTAGTTGTCCATAGCTGTATCTCCTTTGATAATGCAAGACCAGCTAACAGGATTACCCTTGGAGGGAGAGAGATTAAAATCAAAGCATTTTAGAAACCTCTAAAAATTATCTAAAATGCATTTTCATAAATTATGTCAATTTTAGCTCTATATTTTGTATTGTATTTAAAGGTCAGAGATTTGTGCCATAGAACTTGGGCTCAGTCCTTTGTGTTCTAATAGAAGTAGTGTGACATGCAGGTTTCCTATTTCTATCCCTGATGGAACATAAGCTGTCACACGTCAAATCATGTTGCTTGTTCAGGACTGAACCTTATCCATCCTGGTACTTAGGGCAATTCAAGTTTGGGGAAATATAGAAAACAAGCTTTTTTCAGCTGAGGTTGTTGTTGTTGTTTAATGGCACTTGTTTACATGACATTTTCATAGTTTGGTAATGTTCTGACAGGTTCTGTGATAGGTTAGTGGATAAAGGTGATAACAGCCAGTAAAAGATGCATAATTATAATAAATAGGGTGTGCATCGTACATATATATCCATGCATGTATATACATGCTTTCTAACATATAGTAAACCATTTTATTCCAACTTTCCAATTATTTTTCTAGATATCTGCCTTAAATGGAGGATTCTCGCATCTTCCACTGATGCTGAAAATGGAGACCACAGTGGCATCTGGATCTGCACATATAACCCCAACCCTCTGGAAAACAAGTAAGTCCTCACGTTGATGTAGGTTGACATTTATTTAAAGCCAAAAGAATTACCTGGGAGTAAATAGTAAAGCACATGTGCTGTAGAAGCATTTGAAAAGGCACCTTTTTCTGGGGAAACTTCACAATTGTGGTTGTTAGGTTAGAAAACAAAGGCAGATGAATGAAAATATATCAGACTTTGCTAGCTATGGCTAGTGTATTAATTGGCCTTTTTGGCACTGCTTTATGATAGACCTGAATTTCTAGATAGTTCACCTGGAAGATTGATCATATAGCAGTTAGGTGTACCCAATCTGTTGTTTCAAATGTCTGTCATTGGGGACATAGTCCTGTCGAATTCAACTATCATCCTTGCCCCTTCCATAGTGAAAATCTTGGTATTTGAGAAAAGGGAAGCCTTAAGTTTAGCAACCATTCTGTTTACTACTATTTTATGTAGCTTGAGCATGTTGTCCAACAACATCAGTTCTTAAACCCAAGCTCTCTGTTATGTTACATGATTTTAATTCTTATAGCTCCACTATAATGAAAGTATATTATACAAGTGAATAGGAGCTAGTGAGCAAAGTAGTCCCAGCCAGTAGTGTGCTCTATTAATCAGTCTGGCAGAGAACAGTGTTGTATGTGTGTGAATCTTGATTTCTTGCTAGTAGGGTTTGAACCTTTTTGATGGACAAAAACTAATTGTAGTAAACTCCTTTTCTGACAGGACCTGTTTCATGTATTAAGATTCAAATCTGTTGGGAAAACACTGTAAAAATGGCCTCTCCACTGTGATTTCTGTACAGTCGCAATATAGATAAATGTCTTTTCCCAACTTCTAACTTCCTGAATTCCAAGCTTTACCATGACTCGACCCAGTCAAGCTTGAAATAAATAAGAATCATGGTACGATGGACAAAAATAGGTCCAATGTGAAGCCTGTGAGCTTAGAACGCCCGTCATCCATCAGTGTAAGTGACTGGGATGCACAAGAAACAAGAGAACCCAGCTCCCTTCCTCTTATTTGTATTTGCTGTCTCAAGTAAAGGGGAGTTGTAGGTAGTAACACTTATGTTTGTCATTGTATTTAACAGGAGTGATATGGAGTGCATTCAGAAAATGGATCTATTGTGTAAGACAAAGCCACTTGTACAGTCCTTTGGAGAGTAGTCTGTTTTAAAGGATCAAAGATCATTCCTTGCCAGATTGTACAAAATAAAAGAATAGTATTTCTTTCCACTGATTATTTTTCTTGTATTGATTAATACCATATTGTAGGTGTCATAGACCAGAACATTTACCTTCCATCCCTTTGGGCACTTTAAACAAACCAGCGCAGTTACCAAATGACAAAGAAAAGCTCCTTTTAGAGTCAATCCAGAGACATCAAAAGAAGCTGGAAAACTTGCAGTCTCAGGTGACCTGTTACTTATAGCTTTTCTTTAGACTATAAAGGTGTTGTCTTTAGGAAAGCTCTAGCTCATGCTCTAAGTCTGCATTGAGGCATCCTTGGATTAAGTCATTCTGCAAACATAGGGCTGGGAGTGTTTAATTAAATTTGATTTAATTCTGGCTTAATATCTTAACACTGAAACATTTCTTTTGAATTATATATACTGATCATTGAAAAGAGATGACCAAAACTGATAAACAGATGCATCACTTTTTCAGGATTCTCATCCAGTGTGTGGATGTTAGAAAGTAACTTTGCTGAAGAATTTACTTAATTAGAAAGGCAAAGAATATATTCTTGCAGTTAGGAACAGCTGTCACAAACACAACTTGTTTATTTCTCATACTGAAGAGTGCACTCCAAGAAAACGTTTGTAAAACCTTAGAAACAGCATCTGGTGATTCTTACCTTTCATGGTGTTTTAGGAACAAAAATGCCACTCTGTTAAACATGCCAAGTCTTGGTTTGCTCATTGTGCTTTCAGTCCTATCCTCCGAAGAGATCTGAGTCCTGTCTTCCAGAAAAGCTACACATGGCTTCCTCTCACACTGTTTAACTTTTGCCCTAATACTTTATGAGTTTCCTTTATACGTGGGTTTTTCAGCTTCTGCTGAAGTGGTTTCAGATGGTGGGCCCATAATCTAAAAGTAGCACATCTATATTTAAGCTATCTCATTCCTTCTTTCTGTCATTTATTTTATAGTCTTCTTTGAATAACTATCCCTGCTGCAATAAAGGTGCTGCTTGCATAGTTTCATACTTAGTAAGTCAAAAGGGACCTGAGCAGATCATCAAGTCCGACCCCCTGCCATGGCAGAAAAGAGTACTGGGGTCAAACGACCCCAGCAAGGTGATTGTCCAGCCAATCACCTATAATGATTAAAAACAGTCAAAATGCTCTGTGTTGGTGGACTAAAAACAATTTCAGGTGTTGCTTGCCTCTTTACATTAGTTCTCTATCTGAAGATGAATTGTTAATTCATCTACAGTAGTTACGTTTACTTTTCATTATGTGGTATTATTTTTAGTATCTTCTGGAATGTAAGTAGTTTGTGTCTAGGTTAGTTGCCTAATTCATTTACAGGGTCACAGCCCTGGTGGAAGTCTCCCTGCTGAACAACCATCTGGCTGCTGTAATTTCACTGTACATGCTGGCCCTCTGGGCTTTTTAAGGTCCTTTTTTATCTGTAGCTAAAT